CTGATATTCTCAAATGAAAGCCAAATGCTTCTAAATGTACATAATATAAAATGAAATGAAACAGAAGTATCGTTTAGGTTCCTCAAGTTTCCTCCTCCCCTCTAACATCCTGTCTCAGCATGGGCTCACACTCCCCAGACAGAATCTGTGCTTCTCTCTCAGTAAGTATGTGTGTGTTTGTGCGTGCGTGTGTGATGGGACTCTGCACCATTCTCTCCTCTGCAGTCGAGTGTTTCTGGCTCCCTTCCCACTGCTGCTGCACCACTCCACCGGCCTGCCTCTCTGCACCACACGCACCCACACACACACACACAATTTTCTATGTGCACAGTCCACCATAGTCAGGTGTGCTGTGAAGCAGCACTGCACCTGCTTCAACCCCTATCTCCCTAATAAACACACACATGCATGCATACACATCCTCCAAGAAAGTGTTAGCAGTGAGCCCACCCCACTAGCAGTGCTGTTTCAATGTCATCCCTTCGTAGTGACCTATCTTTACACTGCTAACAGCAATGCACTCAAACAGCCGTTGCTGTCCTTGCCGCACATACACACGCATACAAGGACTACCGTCATACATGTGTCTTTGGTAGTGGAAGCTGTAAACATTCAGATATAAAACAAGGGAAACTGTTTGACATAGGCTCCTGCTGACTCAGCAGTCCTGTGGAGAGTCGGAAAAAAAGAGGCAGATGCAGAGACTTGCTAACAGATGAAATACTGCAGTGAAGAACCCTCATGTGACTCCTCCCTCTCACTGCCCCTCCCAATTTCCCTCTCCCCCATCTTTGTCCACCTCTCTTGCCTCCTTCCTTGTACCGCTTTCCAACCCCTAACACAGCCCCCCACCCCCTTTTTTCTCTTTTTGTCTCAATTGCTTCTTTGTAATGCAAGGTCAGTGCAGAAGAAAGTAAAGTGAGGTAGATCTCTTACCTCCTCCTTATTGTTCCCTCTCCATACCTTTATTTCTTTAGGTTTGAATTGTGCAAATAAAATCAAATTCACAATAAATGTGTAAGTTGGTAAAAAGTATCCATTTTCATTTAATAGAACAAAAATATTATGAAGGGGTAAAGCCAGCAGTCTAATGCATCACTAAAATGATTCACAGACAACATAGTGTTCCAAATAACTACAGCCCTTTGGTTATCCAGTAAATATAAAATCCAGTAAAGGTTTGTAAAAACATATATATGTAGATAGTATGCATATAGCATGATTTTCTTTTAGAACTACTCTGGACTAATCTCCTCTGCTTCCAAGTCTCAATCCAATTAGGCCTCTGCAGGATAGCATGGACAAAACTTTCAGATAAAGAATCCGCTGAAGAGCAACTTTACAGAATACACAATATCTGAAAGTCTCTTGTACACATAGCAGCAAAACAGCTTTGAGTGCACAAATGCTTCAGTTAAGTATTGAGAGGTTGTTCCAAATAAAATGACATCCCCCCAACTTATTTTAATTTAATTGATTTAAAAAGACTAAATAGTGCAGTTCCTAAAGGTACTAGGGTATTAGCCTACTGAGGAGAGGCTTAATATGAACTTCATGTTTGACTCTGACCTCTGACTTCCTCATCCTTCAGAGCCTGACTTCCATGTTTACCACAAAGTGTCCATAACACACTCTAATTGGGTTTTTAAATTTTACCTACACTGTCTGTCTAAAGACCTCTGTTGTTGTCACAAAATCAAATATTTTAACACCAAATCTGCCTTCAGCATTCAGTCAGACAGTGTCTGCTGGTTCAGAAGTGCTTATTGGTTTCTCTAAGCCATGGGCACTATATTATGTGCACAGGAGATTTGTGAGATTAAGTTGGGACAAGACAGTATTTGTTATTCACTTAGCTTTCACTTGGACAATGATCGTGTCACCGCATGTACTGTTTTTGTGTGTGAAAAATGTTCCAACAAACAAATGATTTTTTGGTGTTTTGGGAGACTTGGTGCAAGCTTGATTGCATGCGGGAAAGGAAGAGAGTAAACACTGGGAACTGTATATATTGCTCCAGCAGCAGAGATCAGTTTTGTTGTCAAGAGTTACACTTGTTTTTAAACAAACCAGACACATTTCTGTGGATAATATTTCAGCACTGGCATGCTGCTTTTAAATTTCTGACTCACTTGAACTGTCTCTAGTGCCCTCTGCCTTGGAGACAGCCTTACTACATTCTGCATACTGCAGCAGCCAGAAGCAACCCCCCC